GAGCCTAATTTGTTAGCAACTCAAGTGGCCACATGATGCTAACTCCAGGGCTACCGCACCACTGTTTCCCTAGGAGAGAACCCCACAGACAGCCCCCGTCCTAGGATCTTCCTGGCCAGAGAATGTTTGGTGGCACTAGCTGGCACTCTGAGTGGGATAAATTCAGCTCCCAGGAAGAAAAAGGATATGGTATAGCGGAATCGGAAATCTTTCCAACTAATTAAGGGGCCATGTGGGAGTTGTGCTGGCGGCATTCTCATTTGTAAAGGAATGAAAGACGCCTTTGCGAATAATAAAGAAAAGCAAGGGAAACAGTTTGCTGAAAGCACATGGATTTAGAGCTGAGTCTTCCCCCTAACAATGTTGCCCATGAAAATGAGGTATCAAGCTCTTTTTCATTTAAGCTCCGGGTCGATATGATTTTCAAAGGTCAAGATCAATATAACATCAAAGCCCCTTTGTCCTCTGAAGACAAATACTATCAGAGCCTCCAAATCAATAAGCCAAATTAGCAGTTCAACTAGCTAAATTTCTTGATATAATGAAGAAAGGTTGCAAAAGAGGCGGTGACTGTTGCTTCTGTCTTTTTAACTGAATAATAGGATGATTTATAAACCATTGTGGCCATCACTCCAGATGTTTCCTCTTTGCTTTGCCATTACTCTGGTAAAATATATTTTTTAAAATTAAAGATTCAATTACATGAGGGCAGCAACCTGCTCCCCCATCCACCTTTTTGAGACAGTGGATCCATCATGGCCTAAAGACACACACGCTCCTGATCAACCCAGCAACTAAGAAATCTCTTCACCCCGATGAAAGACACTTAGATAATAACACACCTCTTACTTACAGGGAAATCAAGGCCAGAATTCCAGAGGGGAAAGCATATTGAAAATTTAGTTTCTAAAGTGATGTGTTTATGTCAAACACATGTATACCTACGCCTGCCATCAATTGCTGTAAAACCTGAGGCAACATGTTTACAATATCTATATATATAAGAGCCTAAGCAACTGGCCAACCCGCCCACTGGCCAACTGGACAACTGGCCAGTAGCTCTGATGCACCATGACCACCAGGGGGCAGACACTCAATGCAGGAGCTGCCGAAATGCAGTCACTTGGCAGCAGCGGTTCTTGGGTGACACACCCAGAACCAGAGAGGAGGTAGTCCGATTCCAGTGTATGTCACCTGAGAACCACCCTCTCGCAATTTGGGACCCCTCAGGGGATGTTGGAGAGCCAGTTTCAGCCCAATCCCTGCAGGCCAGGGCGAGGGACCCCACCAGTGCACGAATCTGTGCACCGGGCCTCTAGTATTTACATATGCCTCAATAAAATACATAATATATATTTTAAAAGATGCTGTCATGTATACTCAAGTGACAGCATTCAGAAAAATGCAAATTATGACCCCCTTCTTCTCATTTATGCTAGAATAAAGGCTGGACACCTGTAATCACTCTTATTCCTCAGGGTCCCATGTGAGTACTATTGTATCCTCAGCATCACTGTACTGAGGTTGCTATGTATGGGGCTGAAATTCACATCAGCAGAGACACAGATCTGGCCACCATGATGCTTATTCTCCCTTGGACAGATAGAATACACACAACCAACAGATTACTATGGGTTGGAATAACCAGGGAAGACGTCACAGCCTTCCAGAGAGAAAGACAGAACAGAAACACACAAAAACATCATCTCTTCAATGTGACCTTTTCTCCTTTCTCTCCTTTTGATTGAAGCTGGCCTCATTCAGCACCTGACTCACCTGCCTCCTTCTCCCTTACACATTCACTCCCTTAATCATTAAGCCCTCAGGACAATGAGGTTCTGATCCGCATCAGACAGTCACGGGAACAAAGCCCAGGGTCTGTTGATCCCAGACACAGTTTCAGTCAAACTAGAGACAATATCTAGGCTTCAGTTGTGTTTCAGCTCCAGGCCCAGAAAATCGAGGAAACCAGATGAAGCAACAACAGGCTGATGTCAAAACCAGATGTAATGACCCCCTATTGGAGCGCCAACCAATCAGTAGAAACCATGACCCTAACTCCCTTAGTCTAATGACCCCCTATTGCAGCGCCAACCAATCAGTAGAAACCATGACCTGAACTCCCTTAGTCACATGACTGATGCCCCCCCACGCCCCAATATAATCCATCCCCTGGAAGCCGTCTGGGAGCCAGGTCTTTGAGCATTAGCTCACCTGTGTCTTTAGTGTGGGCCACCTCCTCAACTAATAAATTCTTCTTTGCTGCAAACTTTTGCTCCTATCTGATTGGGCTTTGATATGTGTAAGGAAAATAGACCCTTTTAGTCCAGTAACAAAACCTATGTAAACAGTGAAGGGGGTACAAGCATGGAAGGGGTTAGGAAGAAAGGAGGGGCAGGTCAGAAGCATTTGGTTTGTTGAGAGAACAATAATTGTAATTGTCTGGATAGAAAATAGAGAGTTTAAAAGTTGATTTGGGACCACTCCATGTCCACCCAAATTCTTCCTGAAGGTCTTATTACGGGGGAAACAAGTATACTAACCATAATCACTTGATTTGCAATGGCCTGAAGTGTGCTTTATTGCAAACAGGACTTGAGTGAATTGAAAAGGAGAGCAGGGCTTGGTGCCAGCCTTTGTCTCTGGTTTTACCACTAGCTTTTACACATTTGGAAGATTAGACTGATTTTAAAAAATGATTTCTACAGAATAAGAAATGCATGTGATAGTCCTGATTATAGTCCTTCATTTACAAGGAAAGACTAAGGATTGATGGCTTACCAATTTAAACCTCAGTGTGAACTCTGGAGCCAGAATTAGGTGAGCTGAACACCAGCGCATTCTGAATGGCTACTATAAAAGGTATTCATTGGAGCTTGCTTCTTTTACATAAAAAAATGTTACTAATGAATATATGGCAGTGAAAATAATATCAATATTAATTGATTAGGCATTCATGGCAGATGATTATGATAACTACAAAATAAGAGGTTCTTAAAAAAGTTAAACTTAGAATAATGATATGACCCAGAAATTCCACTCCCAGTGTGCTTGCCCTCTATTAACCACTTGTAAGATGAAGAGGTAAAAAGTTAAACAGAGTCAAATATGTCCTGATGGAAGAAGATTTGACTTTGGGTGTTGGGCACACAATGATGTGTCATAGAATTATACACCTGAAGCCCATATAATCCTATTAACCCACATCACGCCAATACATTTAATTAAAAACCGAAACTTGATGATTTAAATTATGGCAAACATCATAATAGCTTTCTTTGTGAATGTCTGTGATTACATCATTGAATGAATTAGGTTTCTAAGTTATACCTGGTTCATATAGTTGATCTAAACACACAGAAATGGTGAGTCCACTTAATATGCAATATAATGGTAATAAATGCCATCCTGGGATTTGGAGCCTCATTTGTATTTGAGAAAATAGTTGTAATGTTGTGAACAAAAAGGAGGTAGGAAAAGAGCATTTTTATGAAAAGCAATATCAACCAGAAGGGAAAAAGAGCTTAATAGAAACATATACTGTGTTTTAGTCTTATCTTAAATCCCCATAAATTTAGCCCCAATTCCTTTAAGGTACAATTTTTAGTCAAAGTCACAGTTGAATTCATTCTCTTGTCCATCACTATGGGCTTTGTTCTTTACAATTTAATTGGAGGCTTTGTATTCAAATGAACCTCAAAGCAATTCTGATGGCTCATTTTTTCATTTCTTTAGTAATAAAATACCACTTGCTTTTATAACAGTGGGTGGCCATGTAATTTCCTTCAAGAGAAATAAAGTACCTAGGTTCCCTTTCTCCCATGGCGTGAGTACAGTGTTAAAACTTTCACAAATGAAACGGAAATGACCTTTGGCTATTTTGTAAGGAATTAGAAGTCTAAGCCGTGATCTCTCACCAAAGTAGTGTTCTAGAACTATTTGAACTATTACTTTCAGAAATGCTCTTTGGCAAGGTGTATACTATATATTCTCAGGTTCAACAGAGCCCCTATAGAGTAAATTATTCCTTCAGTGATGAAATATTCTTATTCATCTTTCAGAGCATTACTTATGTTTAGTCAGGAATGTAAGAACTGTCTGATGGTCCAAGGTCTAGCCTCAGCCAAAGTTGTTCAGCACATGAAAAAAAAATCCTAGAATAAATAATTGCATATATCTACTTTTACTCCCTCTTTTGGGCAATTTCGAGCGGCAAACATTTTAATTAACACATGGTGTATATGAATGCATGATAGCAGCTGTTAATATGCATGTTTAAGACTGAGAGTGTGATGACTTATCTAGACACAAGGGCAACATATGTTGAGCTAAGCATACGGATTGTAATATGAACTACGATGCTAACACACAGAGCACAGAGGGACACAGGCAATGGACGCCTGTCCCCATTTAATCAGCTAACATTTTCTAACATATACTAGAGAAGGCTTTCTATTATTTTAACTGAGGAACATGAACCTTGATAATACCTTAAATCAGCTTCAGACTTTTAAAAAATATATATTTTATTGATTTTTTACAGAGAGGAAGGGAGAGGGATAGAGAGTTAGAAACATCGATGAGAGAGAAACATCAGCTGCCTTCTGCACACCCCCCACTGGGGATATGCCCGCAACCAAGGTACATGCCCTTGACCTGAATGGAACCTGGGACCCTTTAGTCCCTAGGCCGACACTCTATCCACTGAGCCAAACCGGTTAGGGCAGCTTCAGACATTTTGAAACATGTAACTATTTTTCCTGTGAGTGAAAATTCAGAGTATTTTTTTTTTAAATTATCATTCAAGAGAGAAATTGGTAACGAAAGCTATCGGGACCATCTTGACGAAACTTCAAAATATCGAAACAGATTGTGTTTTCCTGCTTTAAACATTTTATCTCATTACACGTTTAATAGAGGAGATGGTGTAGTTATCTTGAACGCTATTAGTTAAATTTACAAAATAGCTGGTTGGAGATATTAGAGAGAAAACACATTACCTTCTCTTGGTACTGCCGTCTGGAGGAATCCAGAGACTGGATTAAAGCCGTGGCGTGGCCCACAAACATGGCGTAGCAGGTGGCCCCCACGATCATGCTCAGCATGGTGATCCACAGGTCCGACATGCTGACGGGGGCCTGCGCGCCGTACCCGATGCACAGCATGTGGCTCATGGCCTTGAAGAGCGCATAGGAATACTGCTTTCCCCAAGAGTCATTCTGGAACAGAGGAGAAAGAGAACATGGACTGAGCCAGCCCGAGAGCAGAATAAACCGTGAGCATGGTCTTACACGGGAGTATTCCTGTCACTGAGCGTGGAGACACCTGGGAACGCAGCATTTGCACAGGTGTCTCTCCTAATGGCTCATAGACAGACTTGATGGTTTTCCAAGCCTGCCTGGCACTATGAATTAGACATAGTCCACTGTTAGACATGCCTTCCTATTCAGTTTTAGGTTTGTTGTTTTTAAAACTAAAATCACTTTTGGGACAATGGTGTGGGCATCACATAAAAATGCCAAGGGTGAATGCTGATGAGCTCATTTCAAAGTTTCCAGGAAATCTGGCCTTTCTGAAGTCCTTAATCTTATATTTCTTATATTTGTGAAGTCCTTAATCTTACATTCCTTAGATAAAAAAAGTAAGCATTTTGAAATACAGGTCTGATAAATGGAAAGATTTCCCTACAAATGTCAGGGCTGATGATAAATCTCATTGGCTTTTTAAAAAATACTAAAATAGATTAAAATAAGCAAATAACATCTTGGCAAATCTCTGGGGGAAAAAAAGATGACTTCTTAGATTAGTTATTAGATGCAGTTTATGATGTCATTTCAAAAGTTTATTCCAAGCTCAACTCTCCAAAAATAAGCTGTTCAATATACCTTATCTACCCTTTGATAAAATTATTATTTTTTTGTTTAATTTGCATCAAATTCCCTAGGCCCAGACTTACATAATTTACGAAGCCCACTATAAACTGAAAGTTTGGACGTTTTAGTTCAGAACTCAGAAGAAAAAAACAAAAAACATTGTTAAAGGTAAAATATATAAATATTTTTCCTTTAAAATATATTATTACAAATCTTAAGGGGATAATAGTGACTGATTAGTAACAACATAAAGGTACACATTTAAAAAATAATATTGTGGTATGATTATATATCATACAATAAATAATAATACTGTATTATTGTGATATCTTGATTGATCACACACTTTTTCTGGTTTATTTTCTTCAAAATCAATTCCTAGGTATCAAAATTCATTTAATTAGTAATTTCATTTTTAATGATAAAATTGAAAGTGGCATCAGTTGCTTTTGGCTAATAAGATCACAAATAACTCTTGATGCTTTTTTTAATTATCAAGACAGATCTTTTTGTTGATGCAACTTTTTCTGGAGTTATTAAGAGTATTCTGTAGGCTGCAATAACATGGGGATAAATTATTTATAAACATATAAATATTAGTACGCTGGAGCTTATTCTCATAGAAGAATTTATCTACAAAGATAAAACACTTCATACAAGTCAGTTTCATGTATGTGTAAATGTGATTTTTAAAAAATTAATCTTTGTATGTTAATTATAGTTTAAAATGCTAATTATAAAAAATAATAAAGATGTACCCTTCACCAGTTTTCCCCAATGGTTACATCTATAATATAATGTCACAGTCAGGAAATTAACATGGATACATTCCAGTGATCTCACCCACATTTTAATAATTTACATGTACTCATTTGTGTGTGTATTTAGTGTTATGCAATTTTATTGTCTGTGTAGGTCTATGTATTAATCAACACATTCAAGATACAGAACAACTGCATCCCTTCTACTGCCTTTATACTGAATTTGATATAAATGTCTCAATGGTATTTTAATATTTTCTCTAACATTTCCGGTAACTGGTTGAGGTCATACAGGAAACCAAAAGTAGCTTTATGATCTGTATACAACCCAAAATTCCTGTTTACGTATTATTTTCCCTTACAAGAAAAAGTTTAATTTAAAAAATTATCTTCCTTGTTAATAATTAGCTCATTTACAGCTTCACATGAAAATAGTGTTATGTTCCATCAAATGTGATGATCTTTGAATTTAATCTGTATTTCTAAGCTGGTGGATATTTGCTTTGCAATGTTGCAGATGTTTTCAAAACTGGGCATTGTAAGCAACAAAGAATTCTAATAACTCCCTCAAATGCTTTCTTGCAATGTCCATGTGTATTCTCTAGTTGGTAATAATTTATTGGCAGAGTTTATTTCCTGCGCTCCGCAGACACAGCCTTGGAACTCGGGCAGAACATTTAATATTTGTGTAGAGACTGCAGGAATAGGCTCCTGGGAGTGACAGGCAGCTGGCCTCTCTCCGTGGGTTCTCTCCCAGTCTGCCTCGGGGGAGCTCCCCCTATCTCCTTGGCGGCCACTACTCCTGCTGCAGCTGCCATTGCCGCTGCTAGCCTGGTGAGCTCTGCTTTGGTGGCGCTGGGGACACACAGCATCCCAGACTGCTGAGGCATGCCTGTGTGAGCCTGCTGCCTGGCCAACTGCTGGCTTTGCACTGCCTCCTGTGCCTGCAGGCCTGGCCCTGTGTGTGCGCCCAGCTGCCCCCTGCGGCCTCTGCTCATCATGTCCATGCCCCACTGTCCCAGGGGACTGCACTTGCAAAACATAAAATAAAAAATAAAACAATTAAGAATTTCAAGATAGCAGCAGCAGAGCATTAAACCAAACACAGGGTGCTGCTGACAGCGTCCTGCTGGCAGCGTCCTTGAGCAACTACAAGGTCACACCCTACCCACACGCCCGGGAAGCCATTCCTGCCTCAGTCAATAACTCTTGCATGATCAGAGATGTTTAAAGTTATTTTTTTAAATATCAAATATATGTGGATATTTTGTTCATATTGTAATGGGGTTTTCCAAAATCAAATTTATAGAATATAAAAATTGAACATGACTTTGGGTGTGATGGGCACACAGTGCAATATACAGATCATGTATAGTTTAATCTTATTAACCAATGTCACTCCAATACATTTAATAAAATAAATAATGTTGACTTGTCTAATGTGTAGCATGCGTTCATCACCAAGTGTGCCCTTGTGTTAACATATTAGATCTCCCGAGCTCATGCGTCTCATTCTTGCATGTATCTTCCTTTACCCTCTGGAGGGTTCCAAAAAAGCTTGTCAATTAGAAACCCAACAAACAAACTGATAAGTAACAAAAATGTCTTGGTGGCCATTTGGAAACAACCAAATTGTCCTTTGATAGATGATTGGATAAAGAAGGTGTGGTACATACATACAATGGAATACTACTCAGCTATAAGGAAAGATGAAATTCTGCCATTTGCGACAACATGGATAGATCTTGAGAATATCATGCTCAGCGAAATAAGTCAGAAAATATTAACAACCATATGGTTTCACTCATATGTGGGATATAAAACTGAAAGCAACAAATGAACAAACAATAAAGCAAACAAACAAAAACTTGAGGACACTAACAATAGTATGGTGGTTACCGGAGGGAAGGGAAGTGGAGAATAGTAAGAGATAAAGGGGGCCAACTCTATGGTGATGGAAGATTTCATTTTGGGGGGTGGGCACATAATGCAATGTTCAGATGATGTACCATAGAATTATACACTTGAAACCTATATAATCTTGCTAACCAGTGTCACCCCGATAAATTTAACTTAAATAATTGAACATTATAAGGTTTAAAAGCCCAACCTTATAAACTTTGGACTTGCATGTAGATGCTGACAAAAATAACAGATCCCATTTGGTTGAAAGAGTTAAGTTTCATAAAGTGAAATTCACTGTTATTTACTTCTAAAATGAGGTCAAGCTGCCATTTATCTATCTATCATCCTATCTATCTATCTATCTATCTATCTATCTATCTATCTATCTACTTATCTGTCCATTTATCTACCTGAAGAGTTTCTCATAAATCAGCCAGTCTAAATTATAGAGAAGATATGTAAGAGAATAAGGAATACAATAGGAAACAGAGTGGAGGCCAGAGTCAGAGGGGTGAGAATGTTTTTCAACATGATCCAGGAAGCCGCTGAAAGTTTTTCAGCAGGGAACGCTATCAACTGAATGTATTCCAGGAAGATTGATCCGGAAGAATTGTTGAGCAGTGGCTCTCCACCTAGGATAACTTTGTGGAGACAAGGTTACCACGGTTACCAGTCTGTATGCGGAAGATTCCGTGGTTTGAACCCAGGCCCTCTGGCTCTAAAGACTATGCTACTAACCACTACATGATATGGCTCTTGGTTTTATAAACCTACCATACTGATAATTTCAAGAAAAGTATTAAGGCTGAGAAATTAACTGCTCAGCCCAAATCTCACATTTAAACTCTTATTTAATATAGTAAATTAAAATAAAGCAAAGAGGAAACCTAAAGGAGGAAAAGCTAGGATCTGAGAGGGTTTTATGAAAATTCAGGGACATTTCTATTCCCAATATACCATATTTCTTTTATTACGTGGCTATTCTCCTTTCATCTTTTAAAATTGACTCTATCCTATTTTAGTCTACATCAATAATAACACACACGGGAGACTATATACTCTAAGTCAGCCGTGGGCAAACTATGGCCCGCGGGCCGGATCCGGCCCATTGAAATGAATTTGAAATGGATAAAACTAAAAAAAAAAAAAAAAAACCCGTACCCTTTTATGTAATGATGTTTACTTTGAATTTATATTAGTTCACACAAACACTCCATCCATGCTTTTGTTCCGGCCCTCCGGTCCAGTTTAAGAACCCATTGTGGCCCTCGAGTCAAAAAGTTTGCCCATCCCTGCTCCAAGTGTTTTACCATATCATCTAAATGTTACCCACTTACATACAACTTGGATCCCATTAAAAGTAAACAATAAGTTACCTATGAATTCTGATTTAATTAGGGTTTATCTTGTTTATAATTTTAGGTAAGGCTTTATTAACAAATTACTCCTTACAGATCAATTTCTTATTATTCAAAAGTGTTCACTCATTTAATTCATTACTTCTCTGAGGCATCATTGAAATTAATTACTTTTTGGGGAAGATACATTAAGCCAAATTAACAGGAACATACATAGGTAAATTTGATTATTCCATCTGGGAACTTTCATATAGAAAAAGGTATATTTTGAGTTTTCTTAAGGTTTAACTTAAAATACTTTCTAGGCATCTGTTTTGACACC